CTATTTTAGAATTTGAGTACGTTGTTTCTGAATTCTATTTTTGATTCTGAATTATCCTACAGACCAAATACTTCTTGTTCTACCCAGAGGCAAAAATGCAGCTTTTCCTTTGTTGTTCTTCTGTTACTATTAGTTTATTAGTATGACCTTTTTTTCAGTGAAAGAGTACTTCTCTTAAATTTTCATTTATTATTGTGGTTTTATAAAGATGGAACTTTGCAAAAGATTGTGTTTTATTGATTAGTGAAGTTGATGCAGGACTATAAAGGAGTGTGTTGAAGTATTACATTAAATATTCTTCCTCTCTATCCTGCTTCAGCCCCTTATTGGAGGTTAAAGGGTATTACACAAATGAAATGATAAATCCAGTTTACATAGTTTTCTCATAGACATTGAACTGCTTCTTTCTTATTATGTCTGAATAAAACTCATTATCTATTTTGTTTCAGTAATAATTATGAGATTCCCTCCTAAGCAATTCTTTATTGTCTCCATTATTCTCCATCTTATAGAATAGTCTGGAAAGGCAAGCATATAAATATGATAAAAGAATTAAGCTGTTGAAGTAAATTAATTTATTGTGCAACAATGTATTCAAATCTTACCTCCTCAATGGATTTTACTTTAATGAAATTCTTCAAAGAACAATACATTAGGTTCCAAAGATTGAAATTATACATTAAGTAAAATGACTGAATATGTTGTGTGTCAATTTATAGAAAGTTTCAATTGAATAGTTAAGCTTTTAAATCATAAAAATTTGCATAAATTAAAATATTTTCTTCAAATAACAGTATTAATTGTCCTTGTATCCTTTGTTCTTGAACACAAAACTACAATTAAAGCAAAAACTAAGTTAAATGTAAATACTATAATTTTACTTATACATATTTACTGAGCTTTAAATTATGCTTTTAAAATGCATTTTACATGAAGATTTTAATCTAATTTATTTTTACTTAGTATATTATATCTTTTTAAGAGTATTTTGGATGTGTAAATGAATAATGGAACAATTCATGAATTAAAGGGTTGATCACAGACAACTTTGACATTTAAGTACATTGACTAATAAAACATTTTTCTAGTTATATGGGAAATGTTAAAATAAACAAGGAATTATTTTAATGGCATAATCATTGTTTCCAGAGATTTACGCATTAAGTATTTAAATATTTTATGAGTTAAATATCTCAGAAAAATTATATTCTCATGCTTTCCATTAGCACTACTAAGAAATCTATTATGACAGGAAAATCAGACTTGCAAAATCATTTTAGAGAGACTGATATATTTCAAGATTGTACTTTATGTCTGTTCAACCAAACATATGCATTAATATAATTATTAAGAAAAATATTAAAATTTATTGATAGATAAGCATTGATGTGAGTGACCTTTGGAATAAAATAGAATGGTTAATTTGGAAAATTCTGTTTATAAAAATATAGCAATGCATTTTCTTAAATATACACCATGTATTTCTGTGTAACCCAAGTGTTAACAGTTAGATGTATTAGGAATTAGCTCTAAAGCTTAGACAAACTATGCTTCTATTAGAATTTCAAGAAATCAAGATTAGACTTTAAGAGTATATATCTCTGGCTATGTATGCAGTTAGCTGCAGTATTGTTTCTTAATATATTTATACAAATTATAAAGGAGTTCTACATATATAACCTTATGAATGCATCCTCTATAATAAGTGTGTAGATACTTCAAAACCATACAAAACTAAACTTTTGAATTATGGCTGGCTACACATAAGCCAAGATTATCCTTTGATTTGTGATTACAATGATTTAATATGAGCATATTGCCATTTGAAGCTTCTTTATAGTTTAGGGTAATTATAATTAGAAAACAGGAAGTAAGTTTTGGCATCCAGATGTGAAGTTTCTGCTCTTTTAAGTCATATACATGTTGTTGTTTTTGTTGTTGTTTCGTTTTGTTTTGTTTTGAGATGGAGTCTCGCTGTGTCACCCAGGCTGGAGTGCAGCGGTGCTATCTCAGCTCACTGCAAGCTCCGCCTCCCAGGTTCACGCCATTCTCCTGCCTCAGCCCCCCGAGTAGCTGGGAGGAGGCGCCCGCCACCAAGCACGGCTAATTTTTTGTATTTTTAGTGGAGACGGGCTTTCACCGTGTTAGCCAGAATGGTCTTGATCTCCTGACCTCGTGATCCGCCCGCCTTGGCCTCCCAAAGTGCTGGGATTACAGGCGTGTCACCACGCCCACCCTACATGTTTGTTTTTTAAAACTGTTGGTCGTTTGTTTGCCTTAGACATTTTAAAAGCATACATGCTTCATTTAGTTAGTTTGGCAAAATAACTGCTAATACATTCGTTTTCCATGTTACCTGTGATAAAGATTTCAAAACATCTTAATCTGCAATCTGTAAAGTTGGATGCCGTCTTTCTGTAGTATCCTAGCGTGTAACAAATGCATGCATGTTATAAACTTATCTAAACAAGTTAGTTTTAAATTTTAATATCTGGGATGTGTGTGTTTGTCTTTGCCCTCCCCCCCCCCTTGTTTTCTCTCTCCTCTCCCTATTTCTTCTCTCTGTCTCTTTCTCTCTCTCCCTTCCACTTTCCTTATTTTCGTATTTGCAATATTTCAAGTGGAAACCCCACATAACTTGAGATGGAAAATATATTGCGTGTTGCTTACGTTTACCTACATACCAATTTTGCTATTTGCAGAAAATAAAGCACTTAATTGTTAATCTCTGAATAATTACGGAAAAGGGCTAATGCTTTTTAGTGTAATACTAACAATACATCTGCCTTCTGTGGCGGTTTATTGTCTTTTACAGAAGCCTGTCAGCACATATTAGCCCTGTCCAAAAACTCTTAAAGTTCAGCAAGTAATCATTACGACAAGATTCTAATATGCATTGCAACTTTTGAGATTAAAATTTAATTGACCTCTTTTTTTCTTTTCCTTTACAATATTGTTTTGTCATGAAGTTTCTTATAGCACTTTTTTTTTTTTTTTAATTCCATGAAATATATGTTTGGAAACCATTTTATGACATGGATTTGGGAAAAGGGCTTGGCTCTTTTTTTCTGGTTATTTTCATTTTATTTGTCATGGTCTTCAAAATGAAGTCTAAGCATATCTGTTGAAGATGTTTATTGGCAATATACACCATTGAAAAATTAAAAGAGTGTGACTAAAGTACAGCTCAATCTTGTTTCCATATTAAAATAGGGAGTGCTTTAAAAAATACTGAAATCTGGGTCCCATTTTAGTCTTAGTATATTAGTTTTCTAGGGCCATTATAATAAAGAACCAGAAACTGGGTAGCTTAAAACCACAGAAATTTATTGTCTCACATTATTGGAATCTAGAAGTCCAAAATCAGGACTTCATAAGGGCCAAGCTCCCTTTGAGATTCTAGGTAGAATCCTTTGCTGTCTTTCTATAGCTTCTGCTAGCAGCTGGCAATCCTTGCTATTCCTTGGATTGAAGCTGTATAAGTTTAATCGCTTCCTCTATGGTCACATGACATTCTTCCCTCCTATCTTCACATCTACTTCTAAGGACACGAATCACGTGGGATTAAAAGCCACCCTAATCCAGTATGTTCTCATCTTAACTAATTATGTCTGCAAAGACTCAGTTTTCAAACACATTCATATTGATAGGGACCAAAGGTTAGGGCTTCAACAAATCTTTTTGGGGGACACAATTAAGCCATAATCCTCAGTAAACCAGAATCTCTGGGAGTGAAACTGAAGCATAAGCACATTTAAGAACATGCCAGGTGATTCTGATGTGCAGCCGCATTTCAAACCATCACGGTGCTGATGGAATCATTTTGACCAAAGATGAGCATGATCATCATTCTCACTGGCAGTACAAAGCCTGGAGCCTCCTCTTTGTTTTCCATATTAAGTTAACGTTGACATTTTGGAAATATTAGCCTCCTACAGGCCAATTACATTTTAGATTTTTTTACCTCTATTTCATATTTGCATATCTTCACCCTAATAAGGAATAGTATACTTATTATTTATAAGTACATTATACATCTACATACTTTATGTAGTTTTCTTCCACACTTTTTACTATTTATTAATTATTGCAAAGGCATCAAGACCTGTGTCTGTTAATAACTGATGGTATAAATATTTTGCTGCTCAAAGTAGAAAATGTTCACCAATGGGTACCTTCTTTCTTAATCTGTAATTCCATTTATAATAGCTAATTGGAGACATTTATATAATCTACTTACAGATTTGTCTAATGGAGAATGCACAGAACTTGGAGAGGGAGGTGTGGAATGACACAAGAGTGCTGATATAAAATAGAGTATCAGAAAACACAGTACCAAATTTCCCTGGGACATAATTGATACATGTTTCATAAATGTGCCCTTAATACATTTGTGTGGTTGAGTTGAAGCTAGATGTGGTAGGTACTCTGAGAATTATTTAAACCAAAGAAAAATATTCCAATATTAAATAATAATCCATTTCCGTGATGCCTTAAAATGTGACTGAGTATGTCCAGAGCAGTGCCAGGATGGAATACCTGTTACAAATTCCTCTGGTATTATTATTATGGTCAGTCATCTTGATAATGTGTTTATTACATGATCTTTAGATACTTACGGAAACACGGGAATATTTTTAAAGATTTCTTCAAAATGATAAATAATACTTCTTTGTTCTCCAAGACCTTTGTTGTCTAATGGGTTCTTATTTGGATATTTTTGGGTGTCTTCTTAGGGCTTACTTTTTCTCCAGAGTGGATTGACATTTGCCATTACTGCAGTCGTGCTTGCCTATAGAACCATAGTTTCATAAATCATCTTTTTCTACTTTATTTGGCTTTGCTCAAGACAAATGTATCTTTTAGTACAGTTAAATGCTGATGAAACAAAGTGTTTATTCTCTTTACATTTCTTATTGTATTGAGAAAACCAACATTCATTAAGTAAAAGTTCGTCATATTTAATGTATTTTCTACCCTCCTCTCATTCGCTGGTGCAGGAGCGTGTTCCCGATAGCCCCTCGCCTGCCCCCTCTCTGGAGGAGGGGAGAAGGCCTGGCAGTCACCCATCATCACATCGCAGCAGCAGTGTGTCCAGCTCCCCTGCAAGGACTGAGAGCTCTTCTGACAGAATCCGTAGGTCTTATACTTCTACTTGTCACCATTTTAAACTTTATTAGGGTTCAGCTGGCTTTTCTAATCAACATGCCCTCATTCCAAATAGATCTCAGATGGATCATGTTCTGAAGCTCTGTAGCAATAGCCATCTCTCAAAATTATGTTTCCCAGTTCGTAATATCATGAGGTATGATACTACATTAACAGGTCCTGATATAAATTTCCTCGCTTCGATGCCACATATAAAGATTTGAGCTATGAAACAGAGAAAATAAGTAACCTTTTGGATTGGTTTCTGAAGTAAACACAACCAATCCTCAGATATCTAGTGTCTTGGTACACTGTTTATAGATTATTCAACATCATTCCTCAAATACTACCCGGCCATTTTTGTAATTCACTGACTTTTAAATTTTATCCTTGTGTTAATGGAGATATCCACAAAGAGAAATGAGTTAAATTCAAAATAATAAATTTTAAAAACGTACATTTGTAAGTCATTCAGGTGATCAATGAATTAAAGAATTTGAAATTAGCTAAGTTTGAGAGTTTGAATTAGTAATAATCAATAATGCATACTATTGCCATATATTGTTATTATTAAAATTTGAAAAGTAGGACTGTATGTTATTTTATAACATTTTCACAATATTTAACCCTGGTACTTATGACCAAGAAAATGAAGAATAAAGTTAAAATGCCATCAAATTAACAAGTGATTTTTGTGTCTATACAATAATCTCAGATTGTTCTTTTGATAAATGACTATATTAAAAGAGAATAACTTGTTTGATAAAACCTATATATTTTCCTTATTTCCAGAATTTAGCTATTATTTTATGCAATTAAGTTTATAGCATAAACTTCATCTAATTATACAAAATTTGTTTAAGTTATTTGGTTGTTGAGAATATTTTCATAATAGGAAAGCAATTTCTAGAAAGTGACTTTATAGGTTATAAAGGAATGTATGCATAAAGTGAAAATTGTTGATCTGGGAGCTATTGAAGTGGATAATTTAAAGATTAAGTTAAATGCTATGTAAATAATTATAAATAAAAGATAGTCAATTATTGGAAATTATATAGTTCAACATAATACTAAATATATATACTTGCTTTGACCTGCTTGAAACTTATTTCCTTAATTTTATAACTTTATACACAATTTTAAAATAGTTTTCAAATAAAATATTTACTGTATATTTTTATGGTACGTTGACACTAGAATCAGAAATTTAATGATAAATATTGGCTTCATTATAATATATTGTCATTGGGAAGGTGCTGTCCTAGAGAAAAAAAATTTTTTTGGAACAAAATGAAAATGATGGACAGATTGGGGAAGATTTGAAAGAGTTTTGTTATACATTCATGTTATTTTATTAATGGTTATATTATTTTTTTAAATTTTTGATAGAAACAAAGGAGACATTTTTATATGCCTGGATGCCATAATTGTTGAAATGGAAATACATCCACATTCACACACATAGCATATATATGCATATGCATACACATATATATGCATATATATGCATATGCATACACATATATATGCATAGATATGCATATGCATACACATATATATGCATATATGTTACATATTACTTTAAAATAATTTTAGAAAATTTTCAAATATACAAATCATTCTTATGCGTTTGTCATCCTGATTTACCTCGTCAATCAACCAATCAAAGTCTCTCTGAAAGTGATATCTCAATAAAGGCATAATGTCACCTAGGGCTTCTATCATAGATTTAATACAACTTTACTCAGATTTGTCATTGTTTATCTTCTACAAAGAAGAACATTATTTTACATAACAGAAAAATGATCAAAATCAGGAAGATAACATTATTATAGTACTAAAATTTGAACTACAGTTTTTATTTAAATTGCACTGGTTTTCCCACCAATATTTTTTAAAGTAAGATTTTTTTTTTTCTAGGTACAAAAGCCAATCTATGACCACACACTACAATTAGTTGTCATGTTCTCTTAGTATTATTTAATCTGGAAGAGTTCCTTAGTCCATTTTGTCTTTCAGAAACTTTTTTTTTTTTTTTTTTTGAGTACAGGCCAGGCCATTTATTTTGTAGAATGTCCCTCAGTTTGGATTTTTTTATGCTTCCTTTTGATTAGACTTAGGTTATGGATGTTTGGCGAGAATCACACAGCTGTGATAGTGCGTCCTTCCTAGTGAATCATTTCAGGAGACACACATTTCTACAATGCCAGCAATAACTTTTTCACTTTCTTAAGGTGGTGACTACCAGGTTTCTCTATTGAAATATTACTTGTCGTTGTTGTTGTTTACCTTTGGAGATAGTGACTGTCTGGTGAGAAAATATCTTAAGACTATGCAAATATTCTCTTCTTAACCAAACTTCCACTCACTAGTTTCAGAATTATCCCTTGATCCCTGAAACAGTTATTATTAATGATGTTTGCCAAATGGCAATTTCTACTGTATTATTCTTATATTTTAAAAATTTATATTTTCCAGATAAAAATCTTGTTTTATGCAAAATAAAAATAAAGTGAGGTGATGTCATTTTCAGTATTTTCTGCATATTCTGATGAATTATCGTGTTTATCAGTTATCACAGTGTTTTTAGGGATAGATTACAAATTTAAAGTTAGACCATTATGTTAATATGATATTTACTGTTGAGTCCAAAAAGAGTTTAACTGACTTATTGGAACCTTGTGTGTTATGGTGTTTTTGTGTTTTCTTTTGTTTGTTTTCGGGTATAACAGCGGTCCATCAGAATGGGTTGTCCATGAACCAGATGCTGATGGGCTTATCACCAAATGTACTCCCTGGGCCCAAAGAGGGGGATTTGGCTGGTCATGACATGGGACATGAGTCAAAAAGGATGCATATTGAAAAAGGTAATGTATGATTATATATTCCTTGTTTTTCCTGATTCAATAGATTTTAGAACTAGATTTTAATCAGAGAATGAAGTCTGTCTCTACATCATGTAAAAAAAAAGCATATAAATGTTTTTAAAATCTACAATATAAAGTACAAATTAAACCTATTCAACAAAAAAAAGATATAAATGAAGACCTGCTGCACTTGTCTTATACAACAGGTAAGTTACAATTTAGTTACCATTACATTAAAAGAAAAAGTCCCAATTGTTATTTCTCAGTTCCTAAAGGATCTGCTATTTGACTTTTTCAATGCCTTCAGGGTCACTGTCATTTTACTTAGCATGATACAACAATAACAGTATAAAAAGGGTTATTCTGCCTTCTTTTGAATTAGAAAAACAGTTTATAGACCAATAAGGAAACAGAAATATATTTTATATGTCAATGTACTAGTAGTTGTCAAAATAGTTGTCAAAATATACCAAGAAAGGCCAGGTACTACATAGCTAAAAAAGTTTCTTATATTTTGTTAATGTCAACCAAACCCATTTTCACAGGCAAAATGTGTATTTTCATGCCTTATTTGATAATTCCATGAAAAAATCAAAATATGATTTTAGTCAGCATATTAGAAATTTATTCTTGGAGATGCAAGTATATATTTTCAAATTGTGAGTGTTAAATTGTGAATATAAGAATCTTCCCACCTATCTTTTATTTTAACTTAATATTTTCAAATTTTATAAATATAGATAGGATAATTTGCTTATCTTTTTTTGACAAAGCCATCAAATAATCAGTGTTGTGAATAAGGATTATTTATTTGGAAAACAAAAGGGACACAATTAATCAGCTGTCAACATGGAAAGGAAATAAAATTGGGTATTTAAATAATTGAATAGGAATAAATGCGTGAAGGGAGATTAAGTTAAGGAGGGGTACCTTCTTCCCACCAAAAAGACTACTCACAAAAAAGTAAAAATGCTTACATATAACATTTCCTTTTCAGCATAAAAATAGCTCTGCTAAATCCCTTAGGGAGAAGGAATATATTTCTACAAATTAGATTATTTGAGTTATGGAATGTCAGTGAGAAAACACAATCAAGGTACTAACATGTTAACATCTAGGCATAATTGAGAAATAGAGGCATTAATAAAATTTTTACGTTATTTATTGTGAAACTTGATATCAGGTGTTATTTAATTAACTATTCTAATGCAGTGCATGACTAGGTCAGATGGTCTCTAAGTTTTTAACTTACATTTTTTTCACAACCTCTTCATTAGCAATAAAGAAGAATGTCATATATATTATCCATCATATTATTTTGACCTATACCTTTGATATTTAATCAAAAATCCATGCATAGCAATATTGTAAAAATTAATATAGTGGGGCTGGGTGTACTGGCTCACACCGGTAATCCCAGCACTTTGGGAGGCTGAGGCGGGCAGATCACGCGGTCAGGAGTTGAGACCAGCCTGACCAATATGGAGAAACCCTGTCTCTACTAAAAATACAAAAATTAGATGGTCGTGATGGTGCACACCTATAGTCTCAGCTACTTGGGAGGCCGAGGCAGAAGAATTGCTTGAACCCTGGAGGCAGAGGTTACAGTGAGCCGAGATCGCGCCCCTGCACTGCAGCCTGGGTGACAGAGTGAGACAACATGTCAAAAAAAAAAAAAAAAAAAAATTAGTATACTGGTAAAACATAAAGTTTCATCGAAGACTCAAGTTTTAAGTAATGATATTTAAATATAATAATTAATTTTACGGGTTTCACAATCATTCTCCACTAGGGTTGAGCTAAAGAATAAAGCCCTACAGAAAATTATTTGAGTCACTCTTTTCTCAATTTTCCCTTACATACTATTTACCAAGTTTAACTTGGGATGCCTAAGAAGAAAGTTAATTTATGTTATATGATGAATGTCAGGATATTAGAGTTAAATTCTCTTGCAGCACCATGGTAGAGAAGGGCTAAGAGAAATATACAAGTCCAGAGGTGGTAGTGAAGAGAAAAATACAAAAGGAATGACCAGTACTAAAACTGGAATAACAAATCTCACTAGAATTTTTGGTGGAGAGCTTTGTGCAACATTATCCTTTGAATTGACCTGTGTTTTTCACAACTATTCCTTTTTCATATGCCATTATTTCAATCCATTTATTATTATTATAATTTTGCCAACATGGAGCTTTTTTTTAAATAATATACTAGGTTGATTTAGGCATGTTTTAAAGTATTTGCTTTGTTATTTGGAAGTTATTTCTTCATTGCTATCCTTCCACTACTAGAATGTAAGCTGCTTAGGAGTCATCTGTGTACTGCATTTGCTTTAAACAGACTAGGCAGTCTTTGAGTGCATACTGATCTGGGCTGAATTTCTAGAAGATTCTAAGAGACAGACAAGAGTTGAAACGACTGTGGAGATCACATGCTTTAAGGATTAGTAGTAAGGCCAAAGGTGAAATTATCTGACCTTCAGAAAGCACATTTATATGAAACACGTTAGAACATTCTGACCACAAATATACATAAAAACTTACTATATCACTAATGGTACTTACATCAAGGTTTTCTAAATTATTTTGCTGTACGAACAAAGTCCTTGACTGTAGCCCAAAAGTTTCCCAATATTTTGACGTATATTTTATGGTGACAAATAAATTTTTAAGATTCTTCCTAGAAATGTGAAACTATCATTGATTTCAAATGTGTATATGTAATCCCAAAATTTTGATAGATTTTGATACTATTCTAGTAAGTGTTTTGTTATGGATGCTTTTCTCTTGTGTGTACTTTCTTTTATCTAGTTTTTAGCATAGTGAATTCATAGTAAATATTCATGGGCTTTCTAGATTGTTAGAGACTACTAAATTAAAAATTGTTTTCTTTCCTGACAACATTTATCATGGGCCTCATAATATCCCTGTAACTTTCCTACAACTCATTTCTATATCAAACAAGTAACTTTATTTAGAGATAGATATTTGTGGAGAAATTAATTGTGTGTTTATGTCATTTTAGGCTTGAACCTATATTTAATTTGCTGTCTGCCAACTAAATTATTCAAAAGGCAATTAAATCTTTAGAAAACACTGATTCCAAAAATAGATGCCAAAATTTATTTGTATTCTGAGAATCACTGTGGTCTGAAATCTTAAGCATCAGTAACTTAAACATTTTATGTTCTTCTTAATATTAAATAGCTATGGGCTTCATTCTATCAGCCAAAAAAATTAAGTCACCATTAGTTGAAGGACCAGTGGTTTCAACTACTGAGTAAATTCATTCCATTTTAAAAATAAAGAATGCTCATACAGGGTTTTGAGCTTAGGGAGAGTATAATTAAAGCCTACATATATATATTTGGATATGAACCGACATATAGGTTCAAGCCTAAAACTTTTTGTTATAAATATGTGTGTGTGTGTGTGTGTGTGTGTGTATATATATATATATACACACACACACACACACACACACATATATACACACACACACACACACACAGATAAATAATAGACCAAGTGTGGTAGCTCATGTCCTGAAATCCCAGCATTTTCGGAGGCCAAGGCAGATGGATCACTTGAGATCAGGAGTTCAAGACCAGCCTGGCCAACATGGTGAAATCCTGTCTCTACTAGAAATACAAAAATTAGCCAGGCATGGTGGTGGGTGCTGTAGTCCCCCCAGTTACTTGAGAGGCTGAGGCAGGAGTATTGCTTGGAACTGGGAGGCAGAGTTTGCAGTGAGCTGAGATCATGCCATTGCACTCCAGCCTGGGCAGCAAGAGCGAAACTCCATTTCAAAAAAAAAAAGAAGTGATAGATATATAATACCTTTGCAGTGATCTCAAGTATAAGGAGACATACTTTTAAGATTAAGAGAGATACTTCAATTAAACTCAGGAGTTTGTCAAAGATATATGCTTAGGAAAACTCTGGGATAGCACATAGCATGGCTTTAAAAACAACTGTCTTTCAGCTTTTCCAAATATCTGGAATTCTCAAGAGCTTTCTGTGTTTTGAAACATTGCTGATCTTTTGCGTCATTCTAAATATAGTGGAATAGGCTGTAATAATTGACTTTTGTGGCATATAAATAGGCTCACTGTTTCTTGATGCTGGATCTCTCTGTTTATCCTCCACACATTTGTCCACTGATGCTAGTTTACAGTGTTGCTCTCTCATGCATAATTTGTTTTGGTTTTTCTTAAATTGCTGCTACTTTCTTTTTTTTTTTTTTTGAGATGGTTTCTGGCTCTGTCGCCCAGGCTGGGGTGCAGTGGCCAGATCACAGCTCACTGCAGGCTCCGCCTCCTGGGTTTACGCCATTCTCCTGCCTCAGCCTCCCAAGTAGCTGGGACTACAGGCACCCGCCACCTCACCCGGCTAATTTTTTTGTATTTTTTAGTAGAGACGGGGTTTCACCGTGTTAGCCAGGATGGTCTCGATCTCCTGACCTCATGATCCGCCCGTCTCGGCCTCCCAAAGTGCTGGGATTACAGGCTTGAGCCACCGCGCCCGGCCAAATTGCTGCTACTTTCAACAAATTTTGGAGCATACTTCTTACCTTGCCTGTAATTCAATATGTGCATTTTTGTTATTATACAATTTATCTAATTTTTGATTGATCAAAAATTATATATATGATAGAGAGAAGCCTATAATACTAACTTCTTCCAGTTATAGAAAACTTAAGCATTTATAGTTGGGACTAACTGTTGCATACCTAATTTGTGTTATTGTATTTTGGTCTTGGAATAAGTAGTCCAATGTGAGATAATCAATGAATAGATATTTACTGAAAGCTAGATATGTGAATGAAAACAAATGAAATGCAAATCAATCACTCTTTCTGTGTCTCTCCCTTTCCTCATTAAAATTATACAGATTTTTTTCTTAATATGTACTTTCTCCTACAGATAAAGCTTTTCTCTTCATTTGTTTTCATAAGAAATGAGAAAACTTTCTTTCACTGGTGACAACTTCAGGAGACAA